GATATGGGGAAACTGGTAGATCTGCAGGTGCTGCCCTAGCTACTGTACGAGCTGCACCTCTGCCCCTACCACTGCCTCTACCGCGACCTCGGCCTCTCGCGGCCCTAACTGGTGGTACTGGTGGCTGTCAATCCTGTCTAGTAGTACGTATCATCAGCATCTGTGAGAAAATAGAATAACAGAAGTTTAGTTACCGGAATCAATAAATCCACATGACAAGAATACAAAAAAGTGAAGTTTTCCTAAGGGTTCGGTAGCCTCTCGAAGATAAGTACAGACGTTTTCGTACCGATCCACAAGGCTCTACTAAATCTGCTCATGACTCGTGAGGCCTATGTAACCTAGGCTTTTATACCAACTTGTTAAAAGAATTTTGCTACAATCATTATATTGAACTTGTTTTATTTTTTAGGTCACTAATCTCACCAATTATTATGATTAGCTAGTTGTAGTTATACATCTTTTAGGTGACAGAATGGAGATAGATGTTAAAATAGACATAGTCAAGCACTTCTGCAATAAACTATACATGGAATAATGAGAAGGATATCCATGTCAGCATTAATCTTCTTCGTATAATTACCAGAGCTGTCGACAGAGTAAATTAACTGGTGGTACAAGTTAAATTTGGTAATTATATTAACTGGAACATTAGATTCATTTTTTCTAAGAGGAAGGTAGTGCACAGCCAGCTTTTAATTAGTTATCCCCATATACTCTAGTAATTCCTAAAAATATCGGCCAACCTAAACTCAAAGCTCGTCGCAGAGTTTTCACATTCGAAAAGTCAAATATTACTGAAACTCAACTAGGAACTTTTATTATTTTTGTATAATTATTTAAATACTACTTTGCCTCTAGAAAAAAAAAAAAAAAAAACTACTCCATATAACTATAAAACTCTTTCACATTTAAAATCCTATAAGTATAGTTTTTTGAAACACTGTAGCTAAATTTGAATAAAATGATTTTTATTTAAAATAAATATAATATATAGGGTACACGTCTATGTTTATTTAAATAACAAAAAAGAGTTTACTAAGCCAAATAAAAGTTTACTTACATATATAATAAAGTAAACAAACATGCTGGAGAAAGAAACATCACAAAATCAGTTAATATTAAAAAAAAAAGTTGTTTTTTCTTCTTCTTGAAGAATATTTGTTTTTAATTTCAATTTAGCACATTCAAGGAACTGAAGGGTATAAGCTGAAGCCCCTTCATTTAGCTGTAGTCAAGCCAATATTGCAAGAGTATAATATTTTTTTCGTTGAAGAATATTAGTTTTGAATCATTAGATTATGTGAAAGGTTTTTTTTTTTTCAAACTCAACAAGAGATAAATTGGTTTCTAATTTATAGTTTCTATAGCGAGTTTTAAGTGTAACAAAGAGTATATATAAAGAAAAAATTGGTATGGCGTGACTTTTTTAAATGTAAACAAATTATTTCGAAAAAACACTTTACTTTTTTTATTCAAAGATAATAAAAATATAAGATATTTTTTAAAATTAGTAGAGAGTTTTAAAATTATTATAATAGAAGTTATATCATGGATAAACTCAAAAAACTGAAATCTTATGGAATATATACATAATATCCGGCAATATTTATTGTTTATTTTTTATAGCTATATAAACAGTTGATATACCAACAATACACGATTATACACATATTATATATGGATTATATATAAATTATATATCATTTAATTTTTTAATTTAAGTGGTCGGGTGAGCACCTATTTAGGCTGATTAGATAAAGCCAAAAGAAAAATATGAAATAATTTTAACCAAAGACTAAAAATATAATTAAATTTCATATGTAGATAATTTTTATTAAAACTCGTCCTTTTATAGTGAAATAAATTAATTTTTTGTACAAAAGAAATAATGGCATAAAAATAAGATAAAAGAAAATAAATATTGGAAAAAATGTTAGAAAGATCTAAAAACGAGAAATAAAAGATGAAAATAAATTTCTTCTTATGTTTCATCTTTGTTGAGTATAAAAAGTTTGAAAGTTAATCTCATCGATTTCAAATATTTTCTTTCTCAACTCAAATACATAGATTATAAGATAAGGATATGTTCGAATATTTTTTTTTAATTTACATTATGTGTCGTTTTTTCACTATTACTAACAAACTGATATGGTATTCGAATTTGAATTGGAATGCAATTTGAGTAGTTTGCATTAAGGTTAAGCCAAGTATGGTGTCGAAAAATAAACTGCTTGACAATTTTACGACGATATGTGCAATATTTTATAATAATAATATTAATCAATTAATTTAACATTTAATGATTCAAATAATTTGTATATATAGGGTTTTAAAAATTCAAATTCTTGGCTAGAGATATCGATAATATTAAAGTGGAGTCATACTGAAATAAATCCAGCCAAAGAATCATTTAAATTTTTAGATAGCCGATTAAAGTGAATTTTAAATTAAGGATAATATCTTCACTTGCATCACTATAAAGATAATCATAGTTGACCCAAAAAAAAAAGATAATCATTATTATAATATATATAAATTTTTAGAAATTGAAATTTCAAAATATAAATCTTTTTTGATAAAACCATACCAAATAAGAGTTCAAGTCGTAGTATAAGAAGTCACATCGTAATCAAAGAATCGTTTATACCGTGTCAACCTTTGTGCTTTGCCATAAATATGAGTTAGTATTTTACTTTGTGGCTATTTTTAGGTTCCACTGACACCTATGAGAATAGTGCAAAAATAAAATTATCACTACGAGAATTGAGAAAATGTTAGTCTTTTTTCATGTAGTGTTTCTTAATGATTATCTGACGATTATCTATACTTATTTAGAAGGTTTAAATATTAAGGTTATTTACATATAATTCAAATAACTCAGATATTTATCATGTTTAATGTCAAATATCAAAATAGAGTAAAAAAAAATCACTAGCTAAAGAATTTTTATATTTTTAGGTAGCCAACTAAAATGAGTTTTGAATTAAGAATAATATTTTCAATTACATTATTATAAAAATAATATTATTGAAAAATAATGTTTTAGAAACTGAAATTTTAAGAAAGAAAAACTTTTAAGAGATATCAACACACCAAATAAGAGTTCAAGTAGTGGTAAAAGAGTTAAGTCTTATCCAAAGAGTCATTCATTGCCTCAACATTTGATTGTTTTACCATAAATATGAGTTATTATTTTGCTTCCTGACTATTTTTAGGATCCTATCACACCGGCAAGAATGGTATCAAAAAAAGAAAAATAGAAGAAATGGTTAATTTTTTCATGTAGTCAATATCTAATGATTATCTATATTTACTGAGAAAGTGTAAATTTTATGATTATTTATATACAATTCAAATAATTTAATTATTTGACATAATTAGTGTCCGCCCATTCGCGCGAGTTTTAATACTAATACACTAGTAATTCCTAAAAATATCGGCCAACCTAAACTCAAAGCTCGTCGCAGAGTTTTCACATTCGAAAAGTCAAATATTACTGAAACTCAACTAGTTGTAACAGTAGAAAAGGGAAGATCAGGGATTAGAGTTACCCTCAAATGGCTGCGTTTCAGCATGCACAAAATTTAAATTTGACGAGTTTAAATCTTAAGTTCTTAGCATTAAGTAGGCGTTTGGACATAAAACTTATAATATTTGAAAAAAAGTAGTATTTGAAGTTAAGTTAAAAAATGGCATTGAATTAGAAATTATGTATGAACATAAATTTTACTTGAAAAAATGTTGCAGTGTAGTGAGGGGAAGAAAGATTTTTTGGAATTTTGAAAAGTTGGTCTTTGAAAAACTCATATTGGAAAAATTTCCAAAACTTGCAAAATTCCATGACAAACACATTTTTTGAAAAAAAGGAAGAATTTGTTATGGACAAACGGGGGCCTAAGAGTGTGTTTGGCTAAGCTTATAAGCTGGTCAAACTGGCTTATAAGCACTTTTTGGCTTATCTACGCGCTTGGTAAAATTAAAAGTGCTTATAAGCCAAAAATAAGCCAAAAGTCATAAGTTGGTCTCCCCCAACTTATCAAATTTTAACTTATAAGCACTTTAGGTTTGACCAAAATATTTACTATTCTATCCCTAAAATACTTCTTTTTAAAACACAACTCTTCGTATACCCAGTTCTTCAGCTGCTTATTATTAACTCAGCACTTTTATCCAAACACGTAACTGCTTATTTTTTAAATCAGTTTCAGCACTTAAAAGTGCTTTTCAGCACCTAATGCTTATCAGCTATTCTAAATAAGCTAACCCAAACGGGCTCTAAGTCTATTACACTTTATTCCGCATTCAGGATTTTTGTTATTAAGATTCTAGTAACTTTCGCATATATATATATATATATATATATATATATATATATATATATATATATATATATATATATATATTTATGTTTCGTATTAAAAATATTAAATTCAATTAAAACCATTAAATCTATACTACATTCTGATTAGATGTGAGGTTTTAATCACACCTAAATTCTATCCTCTTCTATTTACTCACCATTTATTATTCATGTGCCTATCTCCTCAATGCAAGTCAGATACTTCAATGTTCAATCATTGTGTATACTATCAATTTCTTACGTTTTATCATGATCAATAAATTAAATAAGTTAAATTATATATGCATTAATAGTATAAAAAATATCACCATCATGTCGTGTCATGTAAGATAATTAAATTTATATACTAATTATGAATTTATAGTCTGATAAAATATAATAATTGACCTATTATAGTAAGTTAAACTATACTGTTCCATCGTGTAAAATATCTTTACATCATCATTGTATATAACTTAAATCCTTCAAAAATAAAAAATAAAAATAGTTTTTCGCTCACGTCATATTCTCTTTTTATGATGTCGTTCGTTTCCCAGCCAGCTCCTTCCCTCTTTCTATCTTATTTCATTTTTTATTTTCCTTTCTTTCCCTGGACTTATAAATATGCCCTTTGTTCACTCCAAGTTAAATCATCCCGACTATTCTCCCCTCATATTTTTGGCACGTAAAACATTATTCCAAAGGAAAACAAATGGAGTCGAGTGACACAACTGCGATCACCATAACTTCACCGATATCTTCTCGCTCCGTCTCGCCGTCATCGGCTTCCCCTCCTAATTCTCCGCCTCCGCCGCAAGTAGTGATCGTCAGCCCTTGTGCCGCCTGTAAAATCTTGCGGCGGAGGTGCGCCGATAAATGTGTGTTGGCTCCTTATTTTCCTCCCAATGATCCCATCAAGTTCACTACTGCACATCGCGTCTTTGGTGCCAGCAATATTATCAAGTTCTTGCAGGTATATATCTACCACACTCACTTAGCTTAGCGATATAATTGGATGGCATGATGTCAAAGAGTGTTGAAGATAGAAGCCCATATGGTGGATCGATTGAATCCATTAGTTTTCGCTTAAAAAATATATTTATATTAAAAATTCATTAATTAAATACGCATTAAATTTAGTAATCCAGTTATTAATACTTGAATTGTCCTTCTAAAATGTAGAATCCATAAATTAAATTGAAATCTTAGGCTCCGCCTTAATGTCAAGTCATGTTAATATATACTATGTTCAAACATTATTGCCATGCACAATTAGTTTAATTATTTTTTACGAAAATATCTATGTATACACCAGATTTGTTTTAAGAATTTCTGATAAACTTATTATATAAAGCAAGTTATATATTGTGTATGTCTTTTGGCATCAGATTCGTATTATCTATCTTTTTAGGGTATTTTTCCACATTCCTTAAGAAAGATACTTGATAGTCAATCTTAAGAATATTTATCTAAACTACCTTTTATCTCTCTTAAAATCACACTACTTAACACTCCAATATTTGGAAAAAGCGAGGACAGCTATAAAAAAGAGAGCAATAAGTGACTTTTTATTTTTTTTAAAGCATCAAATATTTTGAAACGAATTTGATTTACCAAACTGACTAAGATTTCGAATCATAGTCAGTATTCCTTTTGGAATTTACTCCCATTTATTATAGTTGATCAGGTAAAATCATACTATTCTTGTACAAATGAAAGTATGGAAATACAGGAAGATGTCTATGTTTTAGCATGGTTGTATTGAATGCGTCGACAACCAATTTGGCCTTAGTATTTAAGGGAGCTTCTAGTTGCAATTTGAAAAGTGAGAGTCTTAGGGTTATTGATTGTTCATACAGCCAAAAAATTTAATAATGAAATTCAAATGTTATCCTTAGTGTAAGGGAGGGAATTGATTTTCAAGTTTACATGCATTTCAAATGCTTTGGACATTGACCATAAAAATGCTTTGGACAAACATTCTATAATGGCAACTACCACATCTCCTCTCTTTATTTATTCCATGTAGCTAGAGTTTCACTTTCTATTTTCTTAATTTGTGCATTGACTTCCCTTACTTTTGGAGAACATTATGGCTTATTGGTACTAACCACTAGCTACTCATCACTTCTTGTGTCAAAGTAATCAAAACTATATTCTCTCTCTTACACACATAATTCCACCGGTTATGTTGACAAGTGTTGTAAAATGATGTCGAACAAACCATTTTCACTAATTCACTAAAATATGAGGACTTATCTTATATCTAATGACAATAAAAATAAAGTTTTATTCAATCAGTGCAATTTAACATACTGCAAATTTAGACTTGTCTTTTTTTTTTTTTTAAAGTTATCACTGATAATGACATTTACATTTTTGTTACCTTTAAAATGACTTGATATTATAAATAATTTTATGCTATTACTCACTTCGTTCCAATTATGTGAACCTATTTTCTTTTTGGTCCGTTCAAAAAAGAATGACCCCTTTCTAAATTTGGAAACAATTTAGCTTAAACATACAATTCTACCCTTAATGAGAAGCTTTTATAACGACACAAATACTCTAGGCCCCTTTTTGACTTGTTTATGACCACAAATTCCAAAGTGTCTTCATTTTTTCTTAAACTCCGTGCCCAGTCAAACAGGTTCACATAAATTGGAACAGAGGGACAGGGGGAATAGTATATAATAGTACGGTACGAAGCGTCAATAACATTTTTGTTAATTTTGGTCATCAGGAACTGCCGGAATTTCAAAGAGCAGATGCAGTGAGCAGTATGGTATATGAAGCCAATGCAAGACTGAGGGATCCTGTCTATGGCTGTGCAGGAGCAATTTGTCATCTACAAAAGCAAGTGAATGAGCTCCAAGTACAATTGGCTAAGGCACAAGCTGAGATTGTCAACATGCAATGTGAACAAGCTAACCTTATGGCCCTTATTTGCATGGAAATAACACAATCTCCACAAGCATCACCACAACATTATTCTTTGGGCAATCTCACTAATATAACATATGGTAGTTCACAAAGCAACATGACGTTCCTTGATGATAACAGTTTTGGATCTTTTTCGGAGACTCTTTGGACATGATTAATGAAACACCATCACAAGTACGACCGGCCTATATATATGTATTTTAACGCAAATCGTGTCGTCAGAGCGGAGCCTGGAAGAAGACATGTTTATCACTAGCTAGTTGAGGATTTTCGCCAAGTTAAAGTTAAGGGAACAGTGAAAATTTTTACCTAAATAAAGTTGATGTACCTTATTTTAGTGGGAACGAAATCATATAATATGAATTAGATCTTGAAAGATTTGAGTCTAAGATAATTTTTCTTTATTTTCTAATGGATATGAATTATGATAAAGCAAATGAAGTTGACGGGCCTTGCTCCCGCCATAGTTGATAATGACAAAATGTTATTACTCTAACGTAATTTTATACGAGCTAGTCCTTTCCTAGTGCTCAATATTGAATCTAATATAATTAGGCCAAACTTTTTGGTCACCTAATGATTTTACTATTCCATGTGAATTCCCTTTCAAATGAAGGCTTTTGACTCTCTAGTCTTTGGTCCTGAATGCTTTAATCTTTCAAATCTATTGTCCCTCTTTCCAGTTTCCACACATGAAATGCTTACTCCCGTCTCATCAGTTAACCAACAATTTCTTTTCACACACAACCTGTGTCGGGCACATATGCAAAGCCATTTCCTCTCATGGACAAAGAATTCTTGAAAGTTTGTTAAACAACTTAATTGTTTAGAATTATGATATGTTTTTTTTCTTAAGTTTCCTTGGGCCTAATTGTAGTTTGAAGAGAAAAGAATATAGTGATACTAGATGGTGTGCGCATACTGTGTACAGGCTTATGCCTAACATCACTGTACGAAATAGTCCGACACTGAGAAAGATAATTTCGTACTTGTTTTAATTGCTTAGTAGGATTACCCGTATAAAAAGGGAAGCAGTACCATCAAATTGAATAAATATTAACATAATGCTTCATACAATGTACATTCAGTTTTGAATAAAGTTGTACAATTACACTCTTGAGCTTATTTTCATGAGAACAGAAATACAAAAGAATATGTCACGATCCGGAATCCCACCTTCAGAACCGTGGTAGTGCCTAACGTCCACTTTCTAGGCATGCCAACATTAGTTAACTGATTTAATAATTAAACATTTCAAAAAATAATAATAGCAATTATTAACGACGATTACAACTGAAATACATGAAATAACATAACTCGGTCTAACTCTATCCCAAAAGCCTGGTGTCACTATTACATTAGCAACTAGAAGTCTACAAGCATAGTTTGAAATAAATACAATTGTTCAAATTAGATAAACAACAAAGATAAGAAATGGAAGGGGACTTCAAAGTCTGTGAATGGCAGCAGCTCTACCTCAAGTCTCCGAAGCAAATATGATCCGAGCAGACGCACTTCTAAACACCGCTTGGACCAATACCAATATCTGCACAAGATGCATGTGCAGAAGTGTAGCATGAGTACAACTGACTCAATGCACTCTTGTAAGTGTCGAGCTCTAACCTCGACGAGGTAGTGACGAGGCCATGTCAAGACACCTACATAAAATCTTGTACATATAACTGAGAGGGGACATGCGAAGTGGGAAATATCATAGAAACGACATGTACGAAATCACCAAATAACATCTTCCGGAATAAGCAATAATGTAACCAACTAAATCACCAATCCAGGAATCAAATAAGGCAATAAAATAAAGATGGCACTGCATCACCTTTTGTGCTTTTACTCTCGTCCTCACCATGAAATATCATAAATAAAATATCACGGCATCGCCCTTCGTGCTTTTGCTCTTTGGCACGACATCACCCTTTGTGCTTTATATCCTCACAACCTCTCGATATGTGATAATAAATGCAAATAAGGGACGGAAACACCCTTCAATTTTTTCACTCTTCCTTACCAAGCAACAACACATTCTGATTAACAAGTGAAAGGCGAAAAGTAATTTCACTTCAATTATAGTGCCAAGACAACAAACTCAACTTTCAAATTTTTTAACATATTCATAATAAACAATAACTATGAGGAGAATAATTATAGAGTAATATTCTAACCTAAGATGGAGAACATAGTCAATGAAACAATACAATACAAAGAGACAATTTCCACCTGCATGCTTTAACCTAAGGACAACACATATATACTTGTCATCTCACATATACGTCATCCCCACACGTAATACTCGTAGAAAATAGATCAACAAGTACTAATCCCTCAAATCAAGATTAACCACGATACTTACCTCACTCCGCAACCAAATAAAGGCACAATCGCGGCTTTTCCTTAGAATTAGTCTCGAAACCAATCAAATCTAGCCAAATCTAGTTCAAATAATTCCAAATAGGCTTTAGAAACTACCCACGAGTGAAAAAGATGTAATATTTAATGATTTTGAAAAAAGTCAATAAAAGTCAACCGCAAGCCCGCTTGGTCAAAACTCGAGATTCAGATCAAAACTCAATTACCCATTCACCCATGATCCTGATTTTGTAATTAGTTTCGAAATCCGACCTCAATTTGATGTCTAAATCTCAATTTCTCAAAATTCCCAATGTTTTACCTAAATCCCTAATTTCTACCAACAAAAAGGTTAGATTAAAAGTTAAAATCAATGAATGTTTACAACAACAACAACATACCCAATATTATCCCACATTATGGGGTCTGGGGAGGATAGTGCGTACGCAGACCTTACCCCTACCTTGTGAGGATAGAGAGGTTGTTTTCAATAGACCGTCGGCTCATGAAAGCATAAGCACCACATTAATGAAAATATAAACAAGAAGGGACATTACCAAAAGCCATATAAAAGTAGAATAAAAACAACAAGATAGTAAGGTAATCAATAATGAAAGAAAATTACAGTTAGTCATAAAAATCTACTACCCACAGAAAGCGAGACTGCGTGCCAATACTACTGAATACTCTAGACTACCTACTCTACTACCCTAATCCTCGACCTCCATACTTTCCTATCAAGGGTCATGTCCTCGGTTAGCTGAAACTGCGCCATGTCTTGTCTAATCACCTCTCCCCGCCTCTTCTTTGGCCTACCTCTACCTCTCCGTAGGCCCTTCAATGTCAACCTCTCACACCTTCTCACCGGGGCGTCTGTGCTCCTCCTTCTCACATTACCAAACCACCTAAGCCGTGTTTCTCACATCTTATCCTCAATAGGTTCCACAACCACCTTGTTGCGAATAACCTCATTTTTTATCCTATCTAACATGGTGTGCTCGCACATCCATCTCAACATGCTCATCTCTGCTACCGTCATCTTCTGGACATGAGCGATCTTGACTGGCCAACATTCAGCCCCATAAAACATCGTTGGTTTGACTATCACTCTGTAGAACTTACCCTTGAGTTTCAGTGGCACCTTCTTATCACATAAAACACCGGAAGCGAGTCTCCGTTTCATCCATCCCGCCCCAATACGATATGTGACATCTTCATCAATCTCCCCATCCCACTGAATAATAGACCCAAAGTACTTAAAACTCTCTCTCCTAGGGATGAACTGCGAGTCCAGCCTCACCTCCCCTTCCGCCCCTTGAGTCTCGCCACTGAACATACACTCCAAGTATTCTGTCTTGGTCCTGCTCAACTTGAAACCTTTAGATTCCATGGTCTGCCTCCATACCTGTAATTGTGCGTTCACACCATCTCGCGTCTCATCAATTAATACAATACCATCTGCAAATAGCGTGCACCACGACACCTCCCCTTGGATATGGCACGTCAATACGTCCATCACTAGAGCAAGAAAAAGGGGCTGAGTGTCGACCCCTGATGCAACCCCATCATAATCGAAAAATGGTCCGAGTCTCCACCCACTGTCCTCACTCGGGTCTTTAATCCATCATACATGTCCTTAATCAACCTAATGTAGGCAACAGGTACACCTCTAGCCTCCAAACATCTCCACAAATCCTCCCTCGGAACTTTATCGTATGCCTTTTTTAAGTCGATGAACACCATATGCAAGTCCTTCTTCCTCTCCCTATATTGCTCCATGAATCTCCTAACGAGGTGGATGGCTTCTGTAGTTAAACGCCCCGGCGTAAACCCAAAATGGTTCTGGGAAATAGACACCCTCCACTCGCTTCTAGACTTTCATATTATGGCTAAGCAGCTTGATCCCCGATAATTATTGCAATTTTGGATATCACCCTTTTTCTTGTATACAGGAACTATCGTGCTCCACCTCCACTCTTCGGGCATCTTCTGAGTTCTAAAAATGACATTAAATAACCTAGTGAGCCACTCTAAGCCTGCCTTACCCACACTATTCCAAAACTCCACCGGGATTTCATCCGACCCAGTCGCTTTTCCCCTGCTCATCTTACACATAGCCCCCTCAACTTCATCAACTCTAATCCGCCTACAATACCCAAAGTCACAACCAATCCTGGAGAGTTCCAAATCACCCAGTACAATGCTCCTGTCCCCCTCCTCATTTAAGTGACTATGGAAGTAGGTCTGCCATCTCCGACGGATAAGCCCCTTATCATCAAAACTCTACCTTTTTCGTACTTGATGCACTTCACTAGGTCCAAGTCACACACCTTCCTTTCTCGCGCCTTGGCTAACCTGAACAACCTCTTATCCCCACCTCGGCCCTCGAGTTCCTCATACAAACTACTAAAAGCAGCCAGTAACTGCTAGCTTTGCCTCTTTCTTAGCCAACTTATGCATCTCCCTATTCGCCCTCTTCTCCTCCTCGTCTACACTTTCCACTAGCTTCAGATACGCTGCTTTCTTGGTTTCCACTTTTCCTTGCACCTCTCCATTCAACCACCAGTCTCCCTTGTGACCACCAGAGTAACCCTTTGAGACCACTAATACCTCACTCGCGGCTTTCCTAATGCACTGTGTAGTCGTGGTCCACATAGCGCTTGCGTCCCCACTACTCCTCCAAGCCCCCATTGCCACCAGCTTGACCCCCAACTCCTGCACTTTAGCTTTCGTCAAGACTCCCCACTTGATCCTATATTGGCTATACATCGCCTTCTTCCTCCTCTTCCTCATGATCTCAAGGTCCATGACCAGGAGCCTATGAAGGGTCGAGAGGTTCTCCCTCGGGATGACCTTGCAATCCGTGCAAAGACCTCTATCGGACTTCCTGCAGAGTAAATAATCAATATGAGTCTCGACCGCCGAACTCCGGAAGGTGACCAAGTGCTCCCTTTTTTTTGGGAAACTCGAGTTTGCTATTACCAAATCAAATGCTCTAGCAAAGTCCATAAAAGACATTCCTCCTCCGTTTCTATCTCCAAAACCAAAGCCACCATGCACATCATCATAACACCCAGACGTCGCTCCAATGTGTCCGTTGAAATCTCCTCCTATAAAAAGTTTCTCGATATGCGGGATACCATGCACCATCTCATCCAAATCCTCCCAGAAATGCCTCTTGACTTCCTCATCCAAGCTTGCTTGGGGTGCGTATGCACAGATTATGTTCAAAGGAAAACCTCCAACAACTAGCTTAATAGCCATCAGCCTGCCATTCACCCTCCTAACCTCCACTACTAGTTCCCGAAGGTCCTTATCAACCATGATACCTACACCGCTCCTGCCCCACCCTCCCAGAATACAAAAGTTTGAAATTGCCCACATCCCGCGCCTTATCTCCTACCTACCTAGTCTCCTGTACACAAGCTATATTAATCTTCCTTTTCTCGAGAATCTTCGCTAACTCTATAAATTTTCCAGTCATAGTTCCTATGTTCCAAGACCCCACTCTCAGCCTAGTAGCTCCCTTAGCCCTCTTACCCCCTCCCCAGCGCTGACACCCTAGAGGACAAGACCTTACCCTACCATCGTTCACCAAAGCCACTACAATTTAGGAGTCACTACGCAAGTACTATCCCGAAAACAAGCGACAAAAATAAATCGAATTATCAAAATATAATCTACCACTAAAGGTTGCAAAAGAGGTGGAGAAATAAACTTAAGGAACTAATGAGAACTTTAATTTATAACTAAAGGTCAGACAAACAGGTGAAGAAATAAAACAAAAGAGCTTAAGGAACTCCTTACCAAACACGCACACAAAGTGTAATAACATTATACACAGTCACTCGCACGATCAAAATACCAAAATAATACCTAGAACTACGAATTAGACCTTGAAATGCATGAAAGTTTCAAAGAAACTTAAGAACGTCAAGAATAACAACCGAGCGTCCCAGTTCAATCAAACCAACTCCGATTTGCACCAAATTTTGCAGACAAGTTCCAAATAGCATAATGAACCTATACTAAGTCTAGGAACCAATATCCAAATCCAGTAGCCATAAAGTTAACCTACGGTCAAACCTAGGAATTATCCATACCTTCGAATTACTAGCTTTCGACAAAACATGTCAAATCAAGTTAGGGACTTCCGAATTGAATTTTGGGCATATGTCCAAGTCCAAAATTACAATACGGACCCAAATTTTTTTTTAAAATACCAATCCGGAGTCGTTTACACAAAAATATTAACTATAGTGAACTTAAGTTATTTTTAAAGCCGAAAATCATATTTTCTTCAAATTTTCACTTAAAATCTTTCCGAAAAAAGATACGGATAATTCACACAAATCGAGAAATACTAAATGGACTTAATAGAAGTCTCGAAACAAGGAAATAAAGGCTAGTATTCAAAATGACCTATCAGATCATCACATTCTCCACCTCTAAAAGAAACTTTCGTCGTTGAACGAACACAGAAAAGTACCTAGGCTGGTGAAAAGATGTAGGTATCTACTCTGTATATTCGACTCGGACTCCAACATAGTTACCTTAATCGAATGACCTCTCCACTGCACTCTAACAGAAGGATAACTCTTAGAACTCAACTTCCAGACCTTCTCGGCTAGAATATCCATCGGCTCCTCCTCATAAGTCAAATCCTTGTCCAATTGGACGGAGCTGAAATCTAATACATCGGATGAATCACCGTGATACCTCCGGAGCATGGAAACATTAAACACCGGGTAGACTGCCGATAAACTAGGTGGAAATGCAAGTCTGTCAGCCACCTCAGCAACTCTCTCAAAGATCTCAAAGGGATCGATAAACCTATGACTCAACTTACCCTTCTTTCTAAACCTCATCACACCCTTCATGGGTAAAACCCACAGCAAAACCCTCTCTCCCACCATGAATGCTACATCACACGCCCTTCGATCAAAGTAAATCTTCTACCTAGAATAGGTTGTACGAAGCCGATCCTGAATTAACTTGACTTTATCAAAGGCATCCCGATCAAAATCAATGGCTAACAACCTTGCCTCTCTCGGCTCAAACCAACAAACTGTAGAACAACACCACCTCACATATAAGGCCTAATAAGGAACCATCTAAATACTCGATTGGTAGATGTCCTTGTAGGCAAACTCCGCAAGCGGTAAGAATTGATCCCAAGAACCCTCGAAATCCATAACATAGGCGCGTAGCATGTCCTCCAAGATCTGAATGGTGTACTTGGACTGCCCATCCAGAAGCCTACACTGCAACCTGTGAAAAGTCCTTTGTGATCCACAACCAATCATTCCTAAGATAGCGATGAGTTAAAATAAGGGCAAGCATATGGACTAATACTTGTAGCATTTAGCTTTCTTTCTGAGTGCAAGAGTGTTCGATTGTATCCCCTTTACATACTTGCTGAGTTAGGGATTTTCTTTGATGTGAGCACGTATGAATTTCAAGATTTAGTAGAAGCTAGGTTTCTTGAAGTAGGATACAAGTGCATACCTAGCTGTGGATAGCACTCTGTCATTGCTCTTGAGGCTCGAAGTTTAGAAACTGATTATTTGAATTGCTAAATGATCTTTGTCTTCCAAGAAGGGTGAATAAAAGAAGTTACATGTTTGTTAGCTAACAGTCAGCACCATCCATAGTCACTGCTGCTTTGTGATCTATCAGAAATAGATTACTATGTGATAGTATGACTTTATTTTAGTTGCTTGAGGACAAGCAAGAGTCTAAGTTGGGGGTGTTGATGTGCCGTAGAATTGCGGCACTTTTGATACTAATGACATAGGCTATAGCTAGTCTTTTAAAGCATTTTAAGTCAATTCTTATATAGTTTTGGTGTTTTGCAGCAAACTAGACTTGAAGAACCAATAACAAGGAAAAGATGACAAAAACCCATAGAAGGGCAGAAATGCGGCAGGTTTGCGACCGCAAAAGTGATGTGCGGTCCGCAAACTAACCGCCGAGTGAAGCAGATAACTCAGTTTTTAGAATCGATTAAGCTGTCAATTTTGCGGTTGCATAACTCTTGTGCAGACCACATAATGATCGCAGAAGTGCAAAGTGATTTTCTGTGAGAACAATCCTGCGGCATCAAATGAGATCGTGAAATAATTGTGCGGATCGCATAATGGATCTGCGATGGAAAACTCGGCAACTGAACATTGAATTATATGATGAAATTATATTTATGCGGGCCGCAAAAGTGTTCTATGGTCGCAGATGTAATCTGCAGGTGTATTTTTGTCATATTTTGATCCTAACTTTTAGCCCATTATAAATAGAATAACTAGGGTTTTTGTGGGGCATCTTGTCTGAAAAAGTGGCTACACTTAGAGAATTGAATACACCATTATTTTGGAAGCTTTTGAAGAGAGAATTTTGTCATCTTTGTAAGCTTTATGACTTTATTTATTGCTTTATTCTTGGATTCTAGTATGAGTTGCTAGTTTTAAACACTATGGTTGTGGACCCTAAATGGGTGTAATGTTAATGGGTGTTTAGTATTAAATATATATAAAATGGTTGATTGGTATTTATTCATTTCTCATGCTTCATTTAATGTTGATGGTTGCAAACATTGACTAATGCCATTTCACTCTATCTTTACTTGGAAAAGTGGGTTAGGGTTTGGTAGAATTGAATAACAAACTCAAGGCTTTAAACCTTGTTTAATATAATCGCTTAGGAATAAGTGAGTGCTATTTGGCATAAATTGATTGTTCTTAATTGCAACTCTTTTATATTTGAAAAAATCATAAAGAGAAAATACTACCTAACTATTGGGAAATATTGGGTAGTCATTTAGGAACCATTTGCATATCAAAGGACCTTTCATTAGAAATATATCATATTAACACCGATAGCATTATATCCTATTGATGGGGACAACCTTGGTTTCCTTAATCAAACTAATTACACTCTCATAACAAAATAGTTTTCTTGATAATTCACAACTACAACATTCTCTTTTTAAGCTAACAGAGTAGAATTACGACTTAAGTCAAGTTTCACACTATTCAAGTAACCTTTTCACACCTATTCCCTGTGGGATTCGACCCCAACCTTGTTGGGTTATTATATTTGACATCGACCGCCTTACAATATTTATTTATGTATAATTTGAGTGTATCAAATTTTGGCGCTGTTGCCAGGGAATACGGTTTTGAAATTACTAATTAGTGTGTGCTTTACTTTGCATCTTCTTCTATTCCATCAAACATTGCTTGCTTTGCTTGGTGTCACTAGGTAAACATGGGCGAGCCGGAAGAAGAAAATATTTTTGCGGATATAGATGAATATATTGAGGATACAAATGCCATTGTCCCTCCAAGAGTTTATGCTGCCACCTTCAAGGTGGAACATAGTCTAATCCTAATGCTCAAGGCAGAGGGGTTTTTCCGAAATTCCACAGATGATGATCCGACACAGCATCTCAGAAATTTCTTGGGTGTGTGTGCGATGCACAAGTAGAATCACATTTCAGATGATGCCCTAAGGTTGAGGGTGTTCAAGTACTCTTTAATTGGAGAGGCAAGAAAATGGATCCAAAATCTACCGTCAAATTCCATTCATACGTGGCTCGAACTTGTCCGAGCTTTCCTATCAAAATGGCTTCCACAGAGCAAGAAGTCCGAGCTTCGGGATAATAACTTTCTTTTTCAACCAACGACTGGGAAAGCATCTACATGAGGCATGGGATCGATTCAAGCTATATTTAGTGAGGTTGTTGAATTATGGTTTTTCGGATAAAATCATGTTGGAAAAGTTTTACATGGGCTTGGATCCTATGAATCAATCCATAGCAAAAAATGCAGCTGATGGATCCTTTATGGATAATACATTTACAAGGGTCACACAAATCCTTGACCAGATGGCAGAATATAACCAAGCTTGGCACTCGAAAGACACCACGGGTGGAATTCCATATGGTACTCCTTCCTTGACCAACATGCTTAAGGAGAACCAAGAAAGAGATCAAGTGATTGCCGGGCTTGCCACCAATGTCAATGTGTTGACGAAGATGTTCACTGAAAGCAAAAGAAAAAAGGTGAATGTGGTGGAAGATGTTCAACCCATGTCAAATGAGGATTACGAGGAAGCAAATTATGTCAACAACTCTCAAGGAGGTTATCAAAGGCAACCCTACCAAGGTTCAAGACAACAAAACCAATGGAGGCCTACCCGCAAGGGCAAGGCAACCAACCGTAGCAAAATGACCAAGGTAGTTCAAATCAAGGGAATTGGAGTAACAACAACAACAACTTTTCAAATCGGAGTTCAAACCCTTATGTTCCACCAAAGGGGAAATATTATAACTCTCTGTATTGGAAGGAAAGTTCTTCAAGTGAGTCCAAGTTGGAAAACATGCTTGAACGAATATTGCAAAATCAAGAAAGATCTGACACTTCAATGAAGAATATGACCGAGCTTGCGGGTTCTCACACCGCTTCCACACAAAAGTTAGAATTCCAAATGAGAGATCATTCAAGAGAGCAAAATCCGAAATAGAAGGGCACACTCGCGAGTGACACAATAGTGAACCCAAAAGGTATTGGGAGTGGTCCAACTTCTCATGGCAAACACAACACGAAGTGGGATACTACTTCAAGGAGAGAATGAACAAGTGGTCAAAGTGGAGGATTCTGAATAAGAAGTTGAGGCACAAGTTGAGGTGCCAATTGTTGTTGGAGCTGAAAGACTCCCAAATGAGGTGAAAATTCAAGAAGTGAACCATGAAGAGGTTAAGGGAAAGGTAAAAGAGACACCAAAAACTCTAGCACCAATTCCTAGGCCTCCTTCTCTCTTCCCTCAAGGACTTGTTAGGAAGGTTGATGATAGCGAACTCGAGAAGTTCTATGACATTCTCAATCAATTATCGGTGAACATTCCATTTGTGGAAGCATTTCAAGAGATGTCGGGTTTTGCTAAGCACTTGAAAGACTTGATCACTAAAAAGAAAACCACCAGGAATGATGTGGTGAATGTGACTCACCGAGTTAGTTCCATCATTGCAACAACTACCGTCCAAAAGAAAGAGGACCCGGGAGCCTTCACCATTCCATGTACTATTGGGTTGTGCGATTTTGCACGAGCCCTTTGTGATAATGGGGCTAGAATCAACTTAGTGCCTCTTGCTATCTACAAGAAAAAGGGGTTAGGTATGCCTAGGCTTACAAGTATGAGGTTGCAAATGGCCGACCGTTCAATTAAGAGACCGCTGGGAATTGTTGATAATGCTCTTGTGAAAGTGGGGAAGTTCCTTCTCCCTGCCGACTTTGTTATCCTCGACTATGCTGTTGATAAAAAAATCCCTATTATCTTGGGGGGACCATTCCTTGCTACCGGAAGAGCACTCATGAATTTGGAACGAAATGAGATCAAGTTCTGAGTTACTGACGAAGAGGTTACTTTTCAAGCGAGTAAGGGTATGAAATTGCCACATGCATATGAAAGTATCTCAGTCATTATAATTGTTGATGAGGTAGAGGATGCAGTCAAGGTGATGATGGAAGAAGAATTCCTTGGTAAGGCATTGATGGTTATTATGGTAAATTTTGATGGTGAAGACATGGAAGGATACATGGAATCGGTGAATGCTTTTGAAGGCTTGGGTCCTACACTTATGCACCAAAGAAACTTTCTCTTGACATAGAGAATAAAGTCAATCCTCCCGCTAAGCCTTCAATTATCAAGCTGCCACAACTTGAGCTCAACCCACTTCCACTGCACTTAACGTATAAATTTTGTCACAACCCAAACCGATGGGCCACAACGGACACCCGGTACCTTACTCAACCGAGTATCTATGTAACGTATCTTTCGTATCATACTATCATAGGTAAATGAGCCAGAGAGGCTGTCGTGAGATAAGTAGAATAATACTCGACAAAGACCGACCCAGCCTGATATAATAACTTACATACGTGACATACGGGCCTATAAGGCCAACGTGATCATTTGTAAACTCAAAACAGAGGCCAACAAGGCCATACAAGTATCCGTATATATGACATCTGTCTAAAAGCCTCTAAGAATACATACTTAATATTAGGGTCGGGATAGGGCCCCGCCATACCAAACAATATGCGTCTAAATCATACTGACCAAACAAGCAACTCCGGAGCAAATGGAGCGCACCAACATCTTTCGTTGAGCTGATAGCCTACTTGGAGGACTCTCAACCTGTCTATCGGGACCTACGGGCATGAAATGCAGTGTCCTGAGGCAAAAAGGACGTCAGTACGAATAATGTACGGAGTATGTAAGGCACATAAATAAGTACATAAAAGACATGGAAGAAATATGAAGTAAATGACTCAACCTGTAAGTCTGGGTAACTCTGTAAATAATGAAATAATTATAGTGTCATGCATATGTGCATGAATGTCATGTCGTACATAGGTACATGTTTCATAACATCATCAGGCATCTGAGGGCATCACATCATATCATCTCGGCCACTGTGGGCAAAATCATCAACGTATACCACCTGATCAGATCGTGGCGCGTATATGACGCAATAACCTTTCCCATATCCGATATACATATAATACACGTATATACGCGTGTATAACGCCATATGGTCGTGGGTTAATGTACATGCATTAATGAATGCAATGCATGAGAAGTACGTCGATAAAATCTCTCGGAATATCATAAGACCATTATGCCTTTGAATAATATCATGAAGAAATCTTTATCAACTTACGTATTTTCTGAGACCCATGAACAGACGATAGAACAATAATACACATGGGAATTCAAGAACATAGGCACCTCTAATACTTCTATGAATAGAGTCATTTATGGATGTTATGCATTTGCTCGTTTCGTTTGTGCCGTATATATCGTGCCAAAAGAAAAGAAGGGATAGCCTTAACATACCTGAGCCGATTCTCTTGACAATCCTTCCAACGCACGTCTTTTGTGAAAAATCGCGTAACAGCGGATCGAAGTAGGAGAAAATCCGTATGATATTCTTGAGAAAGATTGCACCGTACTCTCTTAGAATCGCAAATCCCGTTGCAATTACACAGTATAATTTCGTATGAAATTTTTGATGAGCAAAATCACGTCAAAGTATCTCACTTTGTAGGAGAGTCTTATGAAGCTAGATATATGAAACAAAAGCCACTTGTAAAATCATGTTTGAGACTTTCCAACGTAAGTGTCTTACTTACAAAAACTTTCTTACCAAATCTAATTTTCCCATCCTACAAATATTTTGATTATAAGTTAATACCGTAGAGGGATTGTTTTATCCACAAGTAATTTGGTCAGATAATAAGTTTAAGGTTCTTTGCAAATGGAGTTCAAAATGTAAAATCTGAAAGGTTGAGAAACTATTGCTTGCTGCATATATAGGCTAACGTTACACATGCATTTGCTCTTCAGTCATTTTTTGAAAAACGAATATCATTCTAATTATCCCATCCTACAAAATCTTACGGCTTTAGATGCCTTATATGTGGAGGTGGCAGCCACCACATCCCTTATTTTACCACCTTATCTAATGACCTAAGAGTCATGAATGATAAGGTTGTTTGCTGCCACATGGGGGGGGGGGGGGGGGAG